CGAGGGCGGCGGCGGCGGCGGAGAGGTGGCGAGGGCGGCGGTGAGGGCGGCGGTGACGAGTAGGAGGACGGGCGGCGGCGGCGGCGGGGGTGGCGGCTGCGAGTGCGCACTCGCCCTGGCTAGGGTTGGCGGCGTACAGAGCCGACAGCGCACTCGCTGCAGGAGTCGCTGCAGGGGCGCTGTCGGCAGGAGTGGACGTTGAACATGTCGCGGACCTGCGCGCGCGCGAGGAGGAGGGTCGAGGCGGGGGGCGGGCGTGCTGGGGGTGCGGAGGAGGAGTGACACGCGGAAGTGTGTCGGCCGCATGGTCGGCCGTGAGCGCTCGACAGGCGGCCGCGAGAGGGTCCGATGACGTGGGGGGCAAGGCCGACTCGGAGATGCTTGAGGCGGCGCTCATGGGCGGGCTCGCTGCCGGGGCGGGCGTGGTGCTTACCGAGACGTTTTGCCGCGTGGCTCTCCGTTTGCCAAGGCCGCGCAAAGTGAGCATGATCGGGTCGGCTCTGGTGCTGGCCAGGCGCGCCGAGAGGGGATCTGAGATGAAGTGGAAGTGCTGGAGACGTCGTTGATCAAGTCGGGGGCGATTGAGGTCAGCGGTGCCGAGGTTGGCAGTGAATGAATGATGGCGGCGAACGGCGGTGACGGAGTCGACAGCGAAAGGGAACTCTGTCTTCTCGCCGGCGGCGGCTCGGATGCGCAGCGAGAGAGAGGAGCCCTTGGCTGCTGTGGCAGGGTGATGCCCGACCGCTCCGGCACGCAGACCACCAGGTGCACGCCATCCCCCGGGTGTTGGCTCGCAGCTCTCAACGGCTGGGCTGTGTAGGTCTGGAGGTGAAGCGCTTTTGCGTGTTTGTCGGCGGTGGCGGTTTGTGTGGAGTCTAGGATGAGATGTACTGCGCTGGCACACCAAGAGCCGTCGAGACCTGCCGAGGCGGACAAAACGGGGCGAATCAGGGCGGAGGGCGCTCCAGACATGCTAGGGGGAAGCACAATCACCTTGATCGAGCAGGAAATCAGAGCAAGAGTCAACCCAGAGCAGACACAAAGCTTGCACAATCGAGTCCCGCAAGCGTGCTCCTTTTGGCGATTTTTCTTTTCATCTAGGCGCGCTTACGGAAGGAGAATAATAAACACCTCAACCTGAATTACTCTCAACCTACTGCTCCACGAGACGTTCGGCGACGACCTTCTTGAGCCTCCTCTTTCTTTTTCTCGCTCACCGTTCTTTCTTTCTCACGCTGCGCCGCCTCGCGCGCAAAATCGCGCACGGAAGCGTCGACCGCACCACCTTCTCATCCAACTACCCATCTATTCCCGACAGTCAGCGTGACAGTTAAGAGAAAGTAAAAAAAACTTTTCGTGCAAGCGTGAGCACCCTTCGAGCCTAGCGAGTGCTTGCTAGCGAGTGCTTGCTATTCAAGGACAGTGCTCATGCGTCTCGCCTC